CATCCAGGTATATAACAACAAAAAAGGTTGAATCATGTCATCTGGACTTGTTTTTTTTGTTAAAAAAACGTATTATACAGCATTACTCTTGTTTACCTGGTCAGTTATTAATTTTATTACCTTGCAGAAAAAAAGCATTAACATAATCACGTTTAGATGTTGTTTAAGCAGGTGATAATTATAGCTTGTCCAAGTTTTTTATTTTTATTTTTCCAGGAAAAAACAAATCACATTGAGATTAAAAACCTCTCCAAAGCAGAGTTTAATATTCAACTAGAGTCCTGGATTCAGCAAGGACCATTAAGTTAGATAGTTACACAAAAGGAAATAAGAAACCTGAGAAAGTAAAATACAGTGCCTTAATATATATTTCTACAAACTAAAAATAACATGCACATGGAATGGAATTAAGAACAAACCTCCTCAGTATCAATTTAAAAGCTCTCAGATACTAAGCCAGTTAATTTCCAGTCATTCTGCAACATATTCCATTCAAAAACAGTTTTTTTTTCTGTACAATTAGATTACATATGAAGGTAATTGTCCAAGTATTGCCTTTTTATATAAAAACAAGCCAACCCCCCTTGTAGTGGAAGATTCCACTCTGCTTTGTAAAGCTTGAAGCAAATCAGCAGTAGCTTCAAATAAATTGGCCAGTCTTTCATAAAATGCCACATACAGTCAATATGTTTAGTGTTATGGCTGATGAGTGTCAGATGAAGAATGGTCCTCATAAAGCGTACACGTGTGCAGATTGCCAGTTCAATACGTTTTTCTTTAAAAGGAACCTATTGATTTGGTGTTTCAGTTTACCGTGATCTTTCTGAACCACCTGTAACTTGTTGCTTAATGATCATAGTATTGACAATCAGTGCAGGATATTCGATATGCGGGTTAAAGGTTACCACGAGTGCTGAAGCCACTTTACAGCAACAAAATGTGTGCATTGATGTCAGCGGAGTGTAGCTTTCATGATCAGTAACTATGGATCAGAACGTCATCGATAATCGTTTTCTCTGCAGTTCAGGAGTTCACCTACTGTTTAAAGTGTCTAAAATAGAAGATGTGAAGCATTTTGATTTTTATTTATTAAATAAATGGATCACGTTATTTCAGTTTAACACTTATTTCACTGTTACACTTTCACTGAGCTCCATCTGAACTTTATTTCAAGCACACAAGTTATCAGTCTTCAGAAAAATCTCACAGTACTGCATCAGATCCCATATAATGTTATTTACAATGTTTGACCAGAACAGCCATAATTCCATTATTTATCAACATATGACCTAAATTTAAAACTATGGCCTGATAGGAGGCGGGCAATGTGCTTTTAGAAAATGCTTGGCCTTTAATTAAATTGTCATATTTTTAAATGCTGTTATAACAATTTAAGCTGAAGTGAATCCAAAGGTTAGCATTAGAGACAAAGAAAAATGTAAAAAGTTATGATAAAAATGTATTTTCATATCAAACTGCATAAACATACTTTACAGGTAATAATATATGTATGTATATAAATATGCATGGAACATGCATATACATGATGAAGTTGCTCCATATTTTTTGTATTTGGGATTAAATCATTTACTATACAGATTAAAACTGTGTAGCCTATATTTAATGGGTAAGAACTGCTTGCATTTAATTTGTCCACTAGAGGGCGCCATAAGAACAGTTTAATTTACATTTTACCAAAGACTGAAAGAATGTTCAATGCAGACTCACTGTGTTGTTATCATCCCTTCAGTAAAATCACACTGACACTAAGAATAAGAAAACTTGAGGCTTTTTAAATTTAATTAGCCACAATTAAATAGGATTAGTAAGAGTGAAGACCAAACTATCAGTTTATTTCTTTATATAAGGTTGTATTAGGAGATCCAAAGTGTCTGAATTGAAGCCACACCTGCCCTGTTCACATATTCATGATTCTGATGTCTGCTCAAGTCTCACCTCGGGGGGACACGCTCTTCCTCTTCAGCCTTTTCGCTCCTTTATCTTTTCTGTCTTCAATCCTGACTTGTCAAGTTTTCTCCTCAAAGCTTGTTTGCTCAGAAATGTCAGCCACTGTGAAAGAATTTTGTTATGCAACACATTAATCTATGCTTTCCCGCTCTCCTTTATTTATCTACTTATAGAGCAAAGGCATTTGTGCCTGACAGAGGCTTTCTATTTGCATCCTGGAAATACCTTCTCAAGACGCTTGACCTAAAAATCCTCCTACTCACACGGATTAAACACGTTGTATTTCTCTATTTGGGCAGAAATGTGCCAGTGGAGGCTTCTAAATAAGCGTAGAAGATTTAATGGCACACAGTTTGTATAAAAAGCACCTTTGGACCAATGCCCAGTGCCCTTTTCTAATAGACAGCACTGCGATTTTCAGGTTTTGGAATAATTTAAATGCTGGAAGGAGGCAGAAAGACAAATAATGACACATTAGGGGGTTTGGCGCAGCAGCTCATGAAAATTTTAAGATATTCATGCTAAACTGCAGAAAATATGAAAATCACATTTTCTTCCACACTTCCATTTATCAGGAATTTCCACCAGAAATAGTTGTGGTGACCCTTCAGAGATTGAGGGTCAGTTATAAGTGAATGGGAAGTGAGCTGAGGAAGTCTGTGCACTCGTGTGTGTGTGTGTGTGTGTGTGTGTGTGTGCACGACGGAGGAAGTACAGTAGAGGTGGTTTACTTTTAATGTGAGAGCCTCACTTGAGAGGAAACCTGAAAGGAGAGGTCTGCCTGGAACACACAATAAGGGCAGGGAAACAAAAACAGGATGACTCGCAGGCCCAAACGGAACATTCTGGAGCAGAGATGGTGTTGGAGAAAGTGTGTGACAACAGGAAACCAGTTATCTCTGCTCGTCTTCTGAAACAGTGAGCGACGCAGTCACAGCGTACTTCACTGGCTTTCATTTACACTTCATTGAAATATTTAGCCTCGTCTGCCACTTTTTTCCTCATAGAAAATGAATTGAGCTCATTTACATCTTTCGTATATTTGCATCTGTTTACAACTGTCTACTGCTCCTTTCTTATCTTGTCCTGGTTCAGCTTCTTTCTGCAAATGTAAAAATTTTCCCAGCTACTTTCAGCTACTTTCAGCTGTTGTTTTCCACTGTTTTGTACTCCTTTCAGATTCTTTCTGCCAACGACAACATTTTTGTGCTTCTTCTAACTTCTTCCTGCTAATTTCAGCTTATTGTTCTCCTTTCCGTTTATTTCTGCAAATGTCAGCTTTTTCTGCTATTTCAGCTACTATTTAGATGTTTTATGCTAATTTAGCTTTTTTTTTTTTTAATTCCACTTTTTTTTTTGCACTCATTTAAACTTTTTTCAGTCTAATTCAGCAAAAATGTGCTTTCTCTACTTTTATTCATTTAAGTCATTTAAGCTTCTTTTTGCCTTTTGTAGCTGCTTTTCAGCTTTTTATGCCAATTTCAGTTCCCCCCCCCCCCCTAGATAATTTCTACTTTTTTGTGCTAATTTCTGCTTCTTTCAGCCCAATTGGGCAAACATGTTCTTTTCTTCTGCTATTTTAATCTTGTTCTACTTTTTCAGCTAGCTTATATCATATTTTAGCTACTTTCAGCTGTTTTCAGATGCATTTAAAATTTTCATAGTAATTTCTGCTACATTCAGCCTAATTAAATTATTTCTGCAAATTTCAGCATATTTTTGACTAGTTTCAGTTATTTCAGCTATTATTTAGCTGTTTTCATGCCAATATTAGCTTTTTCAGCTAATTCCATTTTTTTTTACTAATTCAGCTGTTTTATGCTGATTTCAGCCCCCCCCCCACCCCCCGATAATTTCTACTTTTTTGGGCTCATATCTGCTTCTTTCAGTCTAATTGGGTCAAAGTTCTTTCTGCTTTCTCCTGCTAATTTAAGCTTGTTCTACATTTTCAGCTAGCTTTTAGCATTTTTTAAAACTAATTTCAGCTGTTTTCAGATAAATAAAAAAAAAAATTCATGGTAATTTCTGCTACTTTCAGCTTACTTAAATTATTTCAGCAAATTTCAACTTGTGCTCCTTTCAGCACATTTCTGCTAGTTTCGGTTATTTCAGCTATTAAGCTGTTTTCATGCTAATATTAGTCAGCTAATTCTTCATTTGTTGCATTCATTTCAAATTTTGTGTTCTTTCTGCTTTCTCCTGCTGATTTATGCTTGTTCTACGTTTCAGCACGATCTAAAAAAAATTTTTTTTGTTAATTTCAGCTATTTTTCAGTAAGTTCTTCTACAATACGCATTCACACGGCATTTTTGCAGGAAATGGAATTTCTCTAGTTTCATTTTGGCAACACAGTAGATTGGTGGTTAGCGCCGTTGCCTCACAGTAAGAAGACCCTTGGTTCAATCCCCAGGTTGGATATCTCTGTGTTGAGTATGTTCTCCTCTTGTTTGTGTTTTCCCTGTGTACTCTGGTCTCCTCCCACAGTGCAACAACATGCATGTGAGGCTGCCTTCAGACCAGGCCTCCCTTACAAAAGAGATCCGTGATCTCAGTGGGATTTGTCTGGTTAAACAAAAGTTAATAAAGTTACAAAGCGTAAGCTCGGAGGAGACCGTGTTTTTGCTGGCAGCTCCTAAACTGTGGAACGACCTTCCCTTGAACATCAGATAGTCCTCCTCCCTGTCTGTTGTTAAACCCCTTCTTCAAACCCATCTCTTCCCCCCGGCCTTTGACACCATCTGTTGACTTTTTTAATAATTTTATCTAAAAAAGTGAAGTCTGGTCTTCTGGACGGGTTCAAAAAACAAATAAAATTTTAGCGCATGCATCAGGATATTTAGTAATTTTTACAATTTTTTATCGACTGATTGATGTATGATTGTTTTTTTTTTATGTGTACAGCACTTTGGTCCTGTGGGTGTTTAAAGTGATCTATAAATAAAGTTTGTATGGTAATAAATACATTTCAACAACATTAACAGACAAAAGTAAATGTTCTGCGTCATATGATTTTATTTCTGTGTCTCTGCAGCTGTGCAGTCGCTGAACAGCTTGAATGACCAGATAGCAAGCTTCATGGTGACGAGACCCAAATCCCTGGAGAAGGAGGAGCAGGTCTATTCTCCTCCAGAGAAGGAGACGATGCACAAGTCCATGAACCTGATGAGGCACCTCCTTGGTGATGCTCAGGTACACCACAGTTTGGACTCCAGCTTAATTTAGCGTATGGTTGCACCACAGATTGTACACACAATGAACTTTACCAGCAGATTTGTAGAAACGGTTTTATAAGAATAAAAATGTTAAACTTTTTGCTAAATTTGGTTCATACATGCACTTGTGATGTTTCACATTCACTGAATCTGTACAACACATCCTGGGTTTTTTCTTACTGAGCAGAAGTAAAGTACTTGCAATGAGTATTTACCAATACTGAGTAATATTTTGAGTTATAGTTTCTCTGCCTCTGACCCTAGTATTTAACTTTTTACATCTAAAATAACATAAAAACAGAAATGTAACCATGATTGTTAAGGCCATTTTTACTATTCACCTTGCATTCTTATATCAAGTGCTTCATTATATTTGGCCATTTTCATTTATTTAATAGAAAAAAAAAAGAAATTAGAGAAAAGAAATGCTTAACCAGCTGTGTAATCAGGTAAATTATGTGATTTTTGAAGAACAAATGTCAGAAAAATGCTTTTATGTGTGAAAAGAACAGCAGAAATAGACGTGCACTTTAGCCACCAGCAGACTTGAAATCAAATAATTCATCTCGTGCTTAATTTCGCACCACTGCAAGTTGTTTGTGAAGATATCGAATGCTGCTTCTGAGCTTTTCCTTTTAAAGGGTCTCGGATGAAATGAAATATTGACCGTAACAGGGGTGAAACAACAAGGTTACACTTCACCAGAGTCTGTTGCCACTCCAAAAGCAATCTATTGTTGTAGAAAATCTCTTACTCTCTCATTTTTACCTCCTCTCCATGCACCCACAAGAAAGGTTACATTTTCATTCATGCCATTTGTAGTCAGAAGTGACCCCACTGTTTGTGAAAATAGATTTTCTGGCTCAATATTCAGTCAGGTAAGAAGCTAAAATGGGTTTAAAGATTTATGGACTAATTGGCAACTTTTCTTAATAAATAAGCTCAATCATTATTATTGTGTATGTGAGACAATGAGGTCATGATACTCTTTTTTTCCCCAACGTTCTTCTCTTGTTACACTCTTGTTTACACGCTTCATATAACCTTTGTTAGGACAAGGAGGAAGAGGAGAAGAGGAGGGTCTAGTTTGTTAAGAGCTCTAATTAGTAAAGGGAGGATGCATCCTGCTCTGGTGACAATGTGTGATTGAGTTGTTTGTGAATTAATACACGTGTGCTTGTTGTATTAATTTGTCACCATGCCATTTCTATCCCAATTAATCCTGATGGCAAATGTGCAGCACAAACTGCTGTTTATTAGATGTCAAATACAAAATAGTCGTGCTCATCACATAGATTTAGTCTTTATTTATCCGTTGTTATAAGTAGCTGTTGATGAAAAACAAGAAGCAACAGAAAGAAAGTGTAGTTTGTGAAGCTTTAAAGTGTTTTTTGGTTTAAAAGCTGATTGAAAATCAGCTGCATGCAGATTCATGACATGCACAGACTGTTGAGTGACTGTGGACTGACCCTGAACGCTCCTTACCTTTTTTTTTAAAAACTATATCTTGTGCCTTCATTTATCTTTGTTTAAAAAATTGGCTGCCAGGAGTCTGTCTGGTCATTTTCCTTTCCTGAGCTATTCCGCCAGCCGCCGTTCTCCTTCAATCATCAGCCTTTTTATTTTTGCCATTTTGCAGGTAACATGTCATCAGCCAAAAGATTTCTCACCATTTTGTTTTCTCAGATCCAGAGCCTCTGTGGAATATTAAACAGCAAATGTGTCAATGAAGACTAAAAATGTATGTTCAGTTGGTCTATTCTGCAGAGAAGTAGGTATATGAAAGAAAAAATGTTGGTAATCCATGAAAAGGTTCCAACATATAAGATGGTTAAATAGTGCTACTCCTTAAAGGTTTCAATAGCAACTTCATTTAAATAAGTTTATTATCATGATTAGAATATATTGTAAATAATATGAAAATAAAGGTATAACATTCTTTGAAGGAATGCAGCTCGTCTTCCAAAGATCCAAAGTGGTTCAAAACCACTTTGGAACCATGTTGGCATGGCTGCCTCAGAGGCTCAATGGAGTTGACGGGGAAGAGGGCGGGTCCCGGACACCATTTTATCACCAGCAAACTGTTTTTTTTCCCCACTGTTTTTCATTCATTCAACCTTTATTTATACAGTTTAGTTCCCATTGAGCCTTGGGGACTCCTTTACAAGAGAGACTTGTTACGTACAACACACAGAGTAGATGAGGAAAAGAGAACACGAGGGTGGTCGAAGTAAAAAATAAATTCATATCTCACACCATGTCCTGGTCGGGGCACAGTGGAAAAGATGCATAAAAAGACCTCGCAACATAGCACCATACAATGACATCATAATACATTTATACATAGAAGGTTAACAAAGGTGGTGAGTTGTCCATGGACACTCCAGAAAGTTCCAAAGTTCTGATATGATGGTGCAGTGTCTATCAGCAGCACAGTTCTGATAAGGCCACAGATGTCCTCGTAAGGGTGGGCAGGCAGAGCTTCTTAGTTTACGTAGCCTCCAGGAGCAATTTGAAATAAGTTGGCCTATCCAAGGCCAGCGAGGAGGCCAAATTCAGATAAACAGTTGTTTTGGGCAGGCAGACTCTACTGACATGTCTGCCTTCAGTTCTGCTGGAACACTCAATGGTGAATCCAAACAGCCAAATCCGTGGACATTCCACTGGTCCGGACTTGTTGGCTTTCTCCAAGGTCGAATCCTTCATGCCGGTGAGTCCTAGGAGCCGCAAGTGGGCCACAACTCTCAAAAATTGCATCCAACTTACGGTTCAGCTCACAAAGCATATCAGTCTGAGAGCTCGAAGCACAAAGTAATCCTTTATATAAGGCTGGCAGCTTTACTACTGCCAAAACTGCTGCTGACGTCTTTAGCCAACAACCCAGGTATCTGTCGTTTCCAAAAAGCAGAAACCCTGTTATCATAAATCCAACTATGTATGCGTCTTCTTCGTCCTCAACAGACTGCACAGACAGGCACATCATCTTCCAAACACCCCAGGAATCCATGACATATCCAGCTGAGTGTGTCCCTTCAGGGCATGAGGGTTCTCCTGGACCCTGTCTTCCGGTAGAATTTTTATTTTTTTTAATCAATTGTGTTGAGAGACCAGCTGACCAGATCCATAATAAATTTCGATTCGGAAGATGTGTTGAGAAAGGCTCTGAGGAGGGTCACAGGACAAGAGAACAAAAAAGCAGGAGGAGGGAGGAGCGGGTGAAAGTGACTGTCTTTGTTGAGAGCGAAAGAGAGAAAGGAAGCGTAAACTATTGGAGTGTGCTGCTTGTGGGAATCAGTTTATTGGTGGCTCCTCAGATTGAAGAAGTCCTTTGGATGAAGGACAAAATGTCCCACCAAAAAAAAAAAAAAAGCGTCCAGAAGACCGGAATGAACATTGTTGGATTTTTACCTGGATCAATGAGCATGAACTGTGGTCTTTCAGCTAATTCCACACCACATTTTAGCTCAATAGCTGTAAAATTCACTGTGTTAGAAGCTGAGGACATGTCTTAAATAACAGAAAATAAAGGTATAACATTCTTCGAATGAATAAATATTGCCCTAGAAGCTGAGAGTCATTCAAAAACGAACTGAGTGTCAACTAGTTGCGTTAGATCTTAAATTTATCATGAGATTGTGCATGGCATTTGACCAAAACAACTATATCTCTGTGATTTCTCATTATAAGATGATCTTAGCCCCCTAAGATCATCTTATGATGAGAAAGCACAGAGATATAGTTGTTTTGGATTAGGGTTAGGGGTACTCTAACCCCGAGATGGGGTAGAGGCAGGGCAGCCGACTTGGGACCTGAAAGTCCCACGCTTGATCCCCAGCCATTCCCATATGTTGTGGTGCCTCTGAGCAAAACGCCTAATCACTAATTGCTCCCTAGGCGCTTACATAGCTGCCCACTGCTCCACCTGGGTGCTTCTCAGGTGCAATGGGTTAAATAAATATGAATATAATATGAAACTGGAGGTTGTTAGGTTGATTACATGAATATGTAGGCAGGAGTACGTAGGTACTCTTATTGTATTTTGATTGATAAATTGTATATATTTTAATGCATAGAAATGCCCAACCAGGGACTGGAGTCGTGAAGTAGCTGTAGCTATATACTCTTTGTGCAACGCATCAGCCACAGACTTGTTCTGTTCTATGTTTATGTGCACTGTCCCTGTCTAATTAACTAACTAACTAACTGAAGAGAACCAATGTTGCCATATGGGAACATACAGTGATGACAACACATAGCACTTATACTTATTAGTTTAAACCTCTGGCGTAAACTGAAGCGGGTAATATGCATTCCTTCAAGGAAAGCTTAGGCCTTTATTTATCAAGAACAAGGTTTGTAAGCTTGAATTATCAAGGCAATTTATTTTGATCAGCTTCTACCATCTGACTTATAAACTTGTTGGATAAGGTCATTGATGACACATTTAAAAGCTTTTAGCTGATCAGATCTGCCCTCCCCTTCTTCAGCATGGAAGATCATGACTCAACATCAGAGTATAGACGCTGCTTTTGTCCTTCAGAACTGGACTCACTGCGGAGCTGCTTCATGTGGGTCCTTCTCTTTTACACCGACCCATCTGGTGGGTATCCTGCAGTCAAGCTGAGAGGAGATCGGCTGCTGAGCTTCTTTCACCGACCCCACCCCCCTAATTCCCTTCTCCATGCTGTACTCAGCTGTGACTACATTAGATGAGCTGTCACTCATCACTGGTTGGGAATTAGGAGGGGAGGGGAGTTGGAGAAGGAAAAAGAGAGTAAAGCTGGGGCCTACGGGTGCGCAAATGCAGTTTAGAGGCCAACAAAGGTGACTTTGAGAGTGGCTGAGCAAAGACACTGATAAATAAGATCTGTCTGACCCCCTGCACCCTCCACTTCACTCTAATCATCAGTGGAGAGCTGCAGACATGTCCGTCACTCTTGCAGAAAAACAGAAAGAGGAAAGCAGACCCTCCCCTCC